ACAATAAATATGTTTTATAGTAAGATATCTGGTTCCCCAAGAGGGGCCCCCTTTTTTTTTTTTTTCAGAGCAATGCTGGCCTCTGGGCTCCCTCAGTCCCCAACCCATAAGCTCATTTTTCTCCTGTCCCCATTTTCACCCTGAGGACCTTGCCCTTGTCACTTTTCTATGCCTTCCCAGGAGACAGTCTTAACAGCTTGGTACAAACTTGTTCTGTTTTTACTCATGGAATGGCTATTTTGGTTTCTTTACTAAGCCTATTATCTATGATTAAAATTTTTCATTTTGATACTAAAAGAGTTTCAATTCAAAATCACTGGGCAGAAGAAAAATGTACATGCTTCTAACCCAAATCTGTAGTTTTTGCTAGGACTCAAAGGTATAAGTCTATTTCTGCTGTTTTACAGATACCCATTATCTTCTTTTTCTATAATAAAGATTTCAATACAGATTGGTAATACTATCTAAAATTTTTATGTCTTTTTGTGAAATAAAAATTCATATAGGCTTCAGAGGATCAAAAAGTCATAAAGCTTGGATCCACTTCTCATAAGTCAAAAGGACTCCAGATAAGTACAGTGTGAGTTTTCCCCACCTGTATGTTCCTGAGGATGGAATTTTCTCTCTCCTGAACTTGGGACTCATGCCCTTCCCGATTGCCAAGACTATGGGACTAGAAGTTCTAATTAAGTCCGAATGCTGAGCCCTGGACTTGCTAAAAGCTGATGTGGACCAATCCAGCTGTTATCAGTGCTCCTTGTCGCCAACTGGGACTTATCAGGTGCTTCTGATAAGCGTCCCATTGCTTAAATTCCCACCATAACTTTGACTGGCCTTTCAGCCTTTCTGGGCCCTGATCATCTATGCCCTGTTTCAGCTTGAAGCAGCTATAGAACAACAGAGTACATCATCCCTGCCCCCAAAACAGGCTGAAAAAAGCCAAGTCCAGGCTTTATGATGATCAAAATGAATTAAAGATTTGATTCTGGTTATAATTCAAGGGGGAAATGAAGAGTCCAGAAATAGAAATATAGAAATGAAGGGTCCAGGAATATGGAAATACAAAATTTGTAGGCCTAAACAAAAAGCTGACAGCCACTGTTAACCTTTAAGAACCACTTTCTGCCTTAAGAGCAGACATCCCAACAGCCACTGTGTACAGATAAACTTTTAACAATTGTCACCCACCTCCCAGCTTCCAGCTAGGCTGGTATGGCAGACAAAGGTTGGCTTCTAACTATTGCCTCTGTGCTGTATTCCCTTAATTTTTAACTGTCCTCCTAAGTGACACTAGTCCTCCTGTATTCTTTCAGGTACAGTGAAAAGCAGCTGTGTCAGCCACAGGCTTTCACAAGTATCCTAAGTTAATGTCCTAACATCCTAGAAACAAAAGTTGTAAAATTAACAATGCAATGTGACTTTAAGCCTGACCTCCAGGTTATAAAAGCTCTTTGACCCAAACCAGTCCCCAATGCCACACCTTCAGAAGCCAGAACTCTGGCTGTGTTCATGGCTACAGCTGACAGGCGTTTGTGCCTCATGGAGACTTTTTTTTCTTTTCCTAGAATAAAGCTTGCTTCTGGTTTAATAGACTTTGGTGGTCTGTCCCCCATCATTGCACAACCCTGAACCCAACAAAATAAAGGAAGCATAGAAAAGAAATTAGAATCTATAGTTAAATCAAACAAAGAGATAAGAGAAGCATGTTATGAAGCAGGAGAAGAAACAGCAAATCATAAAATAAATGCACAATAAAGGAGAGGTATGTGAGCAAAATTAGAAACAATAACAAAACCCTATACTTAACAAAAAATAATAAGATCAAACTGGGAGTGGTGTCACATGCCTAGAATCCCAGCAGTTGGTAGTAGTAGCAGGAGGATCAAGAACTCAAGACCATCCTCAGCATATGCTACACAACACCCAAAAAAAAAAAAAAAAAAAAAATCAAGAGTGTAGAAAAAGGGAAAACACAAGGGTGGAAGGGTGGAGGGAAATATAATGCAAAAAAATAATGCAAAAAAGTGTCCTGGAATGAGCAGCTGCTGCTCTTAAATTTGGAATGTGGAACAGACTAGACAGGAAAGGCAGGCAGTTACTTTAGAGATTTTCCTGTTTTATCCTGTTTAAACTGGTACTGAGCCCTGAGTGTTCAGAGGTTAGCTGCTCAGCAAAGCTAAAATTCCTCAGACTTCCCTTCTTTGTATACTATGAGAAACTGGATTCTCATTCCATTTGACTCCGAAGTTTGTACACTTCAAGGCTGCTGATGTCTAAGCCAAAGTGTGCTCGTCTCAAGTGACTGAGACCTATTCTTAATGCTCTCCACTCTAGCTGAGCAGGAAACACCCCTGCAGGAAGGTACTCCCTGAAGTGACCTAGAAATCTGCACAGCTAAGGTAGTCCTGGAGTTTATGCCATCTGTTGCCCTCTGTCTTCATGCTTCTGGCCTCCAGATTTATCCAGCTCCCTTTCCTACAAAACTGTATATATATATAAATAAAAAGTTAGGTGATGTCCCTCCTCCCCCCCCCTAAAGCTGGCAGTCTTCAATTGTCAGGCTACCAACAGTCAAGCTTCTCATCGAAGCTGTCCAGCTTTCCCCTAAGCCACAACTCCTTGTACAGCCACTCTCCTCCAGGAGCTGAGGCTGGGAAAACCCTGGGACAATTGACTTGTGATTATTTCCTGGTTTTAGTTCCAAAGTATCTTGGTCCCAAGCAACATGGCTCTTCTAAGACAGAACCAGGGTACAGACCTTTATGTATGCACAGTGCCAGGATGTACTTCCAAGTTTTGCCTTGTCACACAGTTCTCTCATACAAAATGCTACAGCTGGATTTAAGGTTTAAACTTTTTCTGGGGCTAGGAGAGACTGTTTTCAAATTTTTAAAAAAGTACATACACAGCACACATATGTTGTGTGTGTGTGTATAGGCATGTGCATTCATGCCATGTGTAGGTCAGAAAACAACTTGTAGGAGTTAGTTCTCTCCTTTCACTGTAAGAGTCCCGGGGATTAAAAAAGCTTGGCAGCAAGTGCCTCCTTCCTCTGAGCCATCTTGCTGGCCCAAACTACCTTTTTGGTCCTCAGTCTTCTAATTCCTCCCTGTTCATTGGCAGCAGGTGTACTGGCAAGGAAACTTCCCAGAGTCAGTAACCTGCACGCAAAATGTTGGGACTGCTATAGTTTTGAGTTGCAACTAGACACTGTCCCTCCACAGATGCAATGTTGTTAGTAACTATCTCCACAGGCACCAAGTTCTGAGAGGGGACCCTCTCTGCACAGATGTCAAGTTCTGAGAGGGGATTCTCCCTTCTAGGTGCCAAGTTTTGTTAGGTGCGCCCCTCTCTACAGGTTCCTGTTAGTGGATCCCATGCCTCTAAGGCCTGGCAATGGATCTGAATGCCCACCCACAAGAAAAAAAATGACATAATATATGAAGAAATGAATTTACAGTCGTCTATAGACTGGAGGAGCCAGAGCTAGGAGAGCACATAGTATGGCGGTCTCTCTCCTGGGACACTTGTGTTCCCATGCCAGGGCTCCTCCAGCAGTCCATCTTCATTCAAAGCATGGAACTTTCCCGATGAGATGGTGTGTGGTGCTACATACCTGTGACCCTAGCACTTGGGAGCTGGGGCAGAACTGACACAAGTCCAAGGCCACCTGGATCACATTGTGAAATTCCTGACCAGCACAGGCTGCAGTGTGAGACCTTGTCCCTGTCAGGTCCAAATTCTGGTCCAAAGCCAGAATTCCTTAGGAACCTGTAAAGCAGTTCCCTTATAGCAAAGGAGCCATTTCCTTACCCCTGGCAGAAGGGACAAATGGCTGCTGCCTGTGGCACCTCTTAGCACACCAGAGCACACTGGCCTCCAGGCTCCCTCAGTGTCACAAGTTCCCGTGACACATTTCAGAGTCCACGCCAGCGTCCCAGCCCTTCTTATCGCAAAACCGACCCTAACCTTCCAAACCCAGAAGCTCCCTCGGCCTTTCATTGTCCTCACAGCCCTGCTACTTGTGCTGTGCACGTGCCCTGTCTTCCTCTCTTCTGTCTTCATTCCTTGCTGTCTCACCCCAAACCCTACTGCCAAGTCCAGTCTACTTCTTTCTCTCTGGACTCTCCTACATGCCTGACTGTACTCTCCCTCACATCTACAATAAAATCCTCCCCCCTCCAGTCATACCTTGGAACAGTTTTTAGACAGTTGCAAACAAACAAGCTTTGCCCTAGAGAAATGGAAATTCCTGTCATCCTGGAGGACTCCGTCACCTGCCTTTCCAGAGCTCTCCTGAGATGACAGCTTTGTAGGGGTCTGTAGATGTTAGATGTGCACCTGTGATGCAGTGCCTCTAAAGCCCCAGGGCAGCCTCATGCAGTTTCTTCCCTCCAACAGGAAACAAAGATCAAGAGGGTGGGGTTCTTCTCCTTCCAGAGGCCTTAACACTCTCCCAGCTGCAGCCTTTTCCTGTCTTTGTAGGACTGCGTGCAAGTCCAGAATTGGGTGAAAGCCCTCTAGAGATTGTTTACCAGTCATGTGTGGTACTGGGTGAAGTAGCCCAGCAGCTGTGAGGCAGGTGCATGCTCCAGGGCCTTTAGACCCCAGGTCTTTCCCCTGAGCAGCTTTCCCTACTCTGCTGTACCTCCAGTTCACTGACCTTGGTGCCTCTCACCATTCTGGATTTTCCCTGAGGTCAGCCAGAACTTCCAGTTCTGTGGGTGATCTGATTAAACCCAAGGTGTCCTCAAGGTTGGCTTGAAGCCAAGCAGGAATGTGAGCAGCTCTGTCCCCATCTATGCACTGTCTTCCCTCTGCTACACTGTCAACTGTCTACTGATTTACCCCGAAGTTTAGTTAAGGAGGAAGAAACCACAAACAGTGCGAAAGTGAAACTCCCTTCTGGCTTTCCCCTTGTTTTCTACAGTCCATTGTGGGAGTAACAGAGTTCTGCCCCATCTCCACCCACTTCCACCCCACTTTTTTTTAGCTCAGCCAGTCCTAGCACTGCTTCCACTCCCTCCCACTCGGGACCTACAAAATCTTCATCCGCTCAAAGACCAATTCTAGGTTCCCTACGCTGCAACACCCACACAAAGATCCCTACCACTGTGCACCGGGGAGGAGCTCAGAACGCAGGATCAGGTGAGTGGCAGAGTGGGGTGGCCACCATTGCCCTGCCCAGCTACAAGTTCCAGTATTCAAAGCCAGCTAGTCCCTATATCTTGACTAGTCTATTTGACCAGAGGCCTCTAGCCTGCCTGCTCTTTCCCCTTGCAAACTCTACCTCAGAAGAGCAACTGTAGCTTGTTAGAGCTCCCTGTCTTCTCTCTTCCCTGGCTGGTTTTAGAATTCTTTTTAATAGAAAATCTTTCTCCTGCAACAAGCTTAGTAGCTAAACTGGCATGCTTGCCTTAGAGCAAAATAGGATATCAGGTTTGAGGCATTTCTTCCTTCCTTCCTTCCTTCTTTTTTTTTTTTTTTTTGGTTTTATTGCTTTGGATCCTATCCTGAAACTAGTTCTGTAGATCAGGCTGGCCTCGAACTCACAGAGATTCACCTGCCTCTGCCTCCCAAGTGCTAGGATTAAAGGCATGCACCACCACCTCCTGGCTAGGTTTAGATGGTTTGGGGCATTTCTGAAGGTAATAGGAACCCCAAGGAGGAAAGTGGGGAGAGGCACCCATATGCCATAGGCTGGCACCAGTAAGTATAAGAGACACATGGCTAAATACTGAGCCGAACTCCTGAAATCCAATTGCAGAGAGGGAGGAGTGATAAGCAAAGGGATCAAGACCAGGCTACAGAAATCCACAGAGACAGCTGACCTGAACAAGGGGGAGCTCATGGACCCTAGACTGATAGCTGGGAAACCAGCATTAGACTGACTCAGACCCCCTGAACATGGGTCTTAATTAGAAGGCCTGGGCAATCTACAGGACCTCTGATACTGGAACCAGGATGTATCCCTGGTGTAGAAAAGGACTTTGGGAGGATAGTCCCCATGGAGGGATACTCCCTTAACCTAGAGACAGGAGGAAGGGCTTAGACCCTACTCCAAATGACTTGACAGATTTTAATGATCCCTTCTGGAAGGCCTCACCCTTCCTGTGGAGTGGGTGAGGAATGGGATGGGAGAGGGAATTAGGGAGGATAGGAGTGAGAGGGAATTGGGATCAATATGTAAAATAAGAAAAAATAATTACGAGAGAGAGACATAGCTGGTGCCTAGAGTTACCTGAGTACATGCTGGTATCTACCCGAAAATACCAAACACTGTATTGGTTCTACCTCAGAGTGCTTAGACATCTGGACTATGCTTGGGCACCAAGTTCTGTAGGTGAGGATCAATGTAGCCACTGGAGTTAGACTTGCCTTTGATGCCAGGTCTACCTGCCATCTCAGTGAGCTGTCAGAGCCTCAGGAGCCCAATTTTTGTTTGTTTGTTTTTTCGGGACAGGGTTTCTGTGCAATTTTGGAGCCTAGTTCTGTAGGAACTAGTTCTGTAGCCCAGGCTGGCCTTGAACTCACAGAAATCTGCCTGCCTCTGCCTCCTGAGTACAGGGATTAAAGGCATACCCTACCACCGCCTGACTGGCCAGGATAAAAATCTTAAAGCAAGAATTCAGCACAATATTGTGAACTTGTTAGAAATAAGTGAGCTTTACTCTGTTCTCAATGCAGCAACATGGAGTTGATTAATGATGTTTTGCGTCCACCACTGGTGCATGTGAAGGGCATCCCGCTCATCAAATATTTTGCAGAGGCTCTTGGGCCACTGCAGAACTTCACACCCTGTCCTGATGACTTGCTTATCAGCACATACCCAAAGTCTGGTAAGCGGGTGGGGGGGGGCCCTAATGTCATATAGACCTCATTTTGGAAAACAGGTCCAGACTCCTGCTCACTTCTTGTTCCCTTCTTTACAGGTACTACCTGGATTAGTGAGATCCTGGACATGATCTACCAGGATGGCAAGCTAGAAAATTGTCGTCGGGCCCCCATCTATGCCCGGGTGCCCTTCCTTGAGTTCAAATGCCCAGGAGTTCCCTCAGGTATGAGCACCGGGGTGTTAAGACACAAATAGAGAGAGATAGGACCAGGCCCCATCTTAACAAAGTTTTCTGCTCAACTGTAGGTCTTGAATCTTTGGAAGAGACACCATCCCCACGGCTCATTAAGACACATCTGCCCCTGGCCTTGCTTCCTCAGAGTTTTCTGGATCAGAAGATAAAGGTAAAAACAAACAAAAACAAAAACCACAGTTATAGTGGTACCTTCCAGTATTTGGGAAGTAGAGGCAGAAGGATCAGGAGTTTAGGGCTAGCCTTTGCTACACTGCAAGGTCAAGACTAGTCTGAGCTGTTTCAAACACACAGGGAAAAAGAAAGGGAGGGAGAGAGGGAAAAGGGGGTAAAGTGAGAGGGTGTAAGGGTCCCTGGGGTTAGCCTAGCTTTGATTTATTCTGCTGGGAATTATGGGGCTACTCAAGTCCTCTTTCATCTTGTATGAAGGATCTCTGGCTGTCAACCTGGGACTCAGATAACAAGGCAAATAGAAGATGCAGAGTCCAGGTGCTCACAGGACATAGATGAAGGGACTGGTGGAACTCTGACCTACCATGTGGATGTGTTGACAATAAAGGAGTCAGATAAAATAGTTTATGGAATAGCCAGGACTTGGGCATCAAAGGTGTAATCTTAGGTCAGTGGTACCCTACTATGAAATCTCAGTAAGTCAACTTCTAGTACTGTTTTCTCTACTGCCACCCCAAAGAGTTCTTGAGTGCTAGAAGGTACCACACCTCACTGGCTCCTGTGGTGACAGGAAAACAGGAGGAACCAGAACTAGGGATTGTCTGCCCCCACAGACGATCTACATTGCCCGAAATGCAAAGGATGTGGTCGTCTCCTATTATAACTTCTACAACATGGCCAAGGTGCACCCTGAGCCAGGCACTTGGGACAGCTTCCTGGAGAACTTCATGGATGGGAAAGGTGAATCTGAGTCTGTAGCAAGGAGGGGGCTGGAGCTGAGGGGCACAGCTGGAGCTAACCAGGCCTGTGTCTGTGCCTGTCCTCTTTCCCAGTGTCCTATGGGTCCTGGTACCAGCATGTGAAGGAGTGGTGGGAACTGACACGCACTCACCCTGTTCTCTATCTCTTCTATGAAGACATGAAGGAGGTGAGATTGCCTGCCCCCCTTCCTTCTGTGTCACACAGGCAGGAACCTCATTCCCCTGGCCCTGAGCCCATCCCTATCCCAACCCCACCCAAGACCAGCACCTCCCATTACCTCCTGGCTCAGGACCTTGGCACAGCTCAGGGGAAGACATTGCACAGCTCTTTTCTTGGGGTAGTGTTGATCATGTGCCATTATTGATCTGGTGGCTTGCTGCTCTTGCTTCTCCCTGCTCCAGAGGTACCAAGTGTGGGTACCAGAGATCAAAGTCTGTCCCTGTCCTCTCCCAGAATGAACCCACTGGGATAATGCCAAGATGGCAGGGTAGGAAACTACCTATTTTGCATCAGGGTAAGAGATTCAGAGTCAAGGTATCAGGTGAAAATTCCTTGGTAGAAGTGGCCCACTCTCTGTGGGTGATTCTCTAACCTTATCCCAACGAGCATCCAAAGATCATCTCTATGCTCCAGAACCCCAAAAGGGAGATCAAGAAGATCCTAGAGTTTTTGGGACGCTCTCTGCCTGAGGAGACTGTGGATATCATTGTTAACCATACATCCTTCAAGAAGATGAAGGAGAACCCCATGGCTAACTACAGTACTCTCCCCTCTGAAGTCATGGACCATGATGTTTCTCCCTTCATGAGGAAAGGTAGGTAGCAGCTTGGATGGGTATTTGGAGGATTTGGGGAAGAGAGGTTAGATGCAGCCAACAAAACCTGAAGTCACATGGGTCCTATAGCTGGGACTGTAGAATCTCTCTCCCTCTTCAGGTATCACTGGGGACTGGAAAAACACCTTCACTGTAGCTCAGAATGAGCTCTTTGATGCCCACTACACCAAGGTGATGGCAGGCTGCAACCTCAAGTTCCGTTTCAATCTGTAAGTGCATATGGTTATACTGGGAATGAAGGTAAGCTAACATAACCCAATATGACCTCAAGAATAAAATATGATGCATCCATGTTCTATGCCTACAGGAAATCTGAGCTCAGAGAATGAACAGGTCTTGGGCAGTTCCTGAATGAAGAGGATTTTATCAACATGTATCAGGAAGGAATCGATCCGTGCACTGAAAAGGAATCCAGACATGCAAGAACAGAAGACATACATTGTATTTTACCTGAAAGAATAAATGTCACTGAGAGCTGACTGGGCCTTCTCCCTCTAGCAGCCATCAATCCCATGTGCCTGATAGAGGAAGGCCAGAGGGTCTGAAGCAGTGAGGCCCAGGAGACTTGGTGAGAGGGAAGAGTATTTATTTGATTACAGGAACTCCTTTGTTGCCTTCTCCCATGAGGTCGGCAGTGGCAGACTCAAGCCTGCCAGCCAGCTTCACTTTTTCTTGGGCTCCTTACAAGCCACCACGTACCTCTGCGCCACATTGAGAGGCGGGGAGTAGCCATCTGCATAGGAGGTGTCTTCAAACAGGACTGAGTAGTCATCCTGAGGCTGTAGGACACACACAGGAAGAACTGATCAAAATGCTTCTAGGCCAGGGCAGCCTCTCCTTGCCCAGAGCCCCAGATGCATCTCCTTGCTTCTCCTGCTCTCCTAGCTACCGTGGAGTCAAGGGGTCTAGTGCTACCAGGAAAGCCTATGTTTAGGAGATGAAGGACAACAAGAAGGTAGCAAGCAGGCATTCTGAAGAATGATGGGGACCAACCCTTAAGATTCTGGTGTCATCAAAGGCCTTTCATGGTGGCTCCTTACCCGCTGTGGGGGGGTGTGGATCAGAGCACGGTAGAAGCAGGTGGTCTGGGGATATAGGGCCAGCACCAGCTGCTCCTTCTGAAACAAGGCCTCAGGGTCTGTCTCAGGGTTAGCTTTCCACTGGGGCAGTGGGATGATGCGCCGCCGACTCAGGGTGTGTCTCCTGGGGGAACAATATAGGCCATGACCAGGAGGGTTTCTCCCAGAATCTTGGTGACTCCACTGTTCCCCACCTGGACACTCACTCTTTGCCTTCTTCATCAATGTCGTCTACCTCATATCTGTGGGCAAACAAAAAGGGAAACAGTGCTGGGACAAAGGGTGCAGTTTGCATCAGGCATAAGGATGAGGGAGGACGTAAGGGGATGGAGAAGCTTGACAGAGCACCACCCAGCACCCTCTGGGGGGAGTTTTCCTCCCAAGCTGCAGAAGGTGGAGTGGTGAGGATGCAAAGCCAGGCACACACTCACTTGTTGGTAGCATGGCTGTAGCTGACGACTTCAGCTAGGATCCACTGCTCATCCCCATCCACAGCCTTCACTCTAGCAGCCACTTTGTCTCCAGGTTTGGCCACGTAGTCCCCTGAGGCTGGAATGGCTCCACAGAGGGGTGGGGGCCTGTGAGAGACAGCCTGTTAGTCTGGCCCCCTGACACCAGCCCTCTCTGGCAGTTCCTGCCCTCACTTGTCACCAGGCTTCCCGATCCAGAGGGGCAGGGTCATGGCTGACTGCTGCAGCAGTGTCATCAGCACCCCTCTGCGCATGGTCTTCCGTGGGGGCTCCGAGTCATTGTAGAGACCTGCGATCTTGGCCGCTGTGGGAAGCAAGTGAACCCCTGAGGCCATGTGGGTGATGCCTGACCCAGTCACACCCCAGAAACTGCTCTGAGCTGGAGAACTTTATCCCAGGATCCAAAAACCACCCATGCCCCTTCTTAAGGTCAGGAACTGACAGGCCTAACTCAATGGGTGAGATGTCAGGACAGTGGCCACCATGGTAGAGAGGAACTAAAAAGGAGGGTTTCCAGGATGCAGGTTACATTATGCTTCCTGTCCAGGGTGCTGGGTCAATGAAAATTCCTAGAGTGAGATATTTATATATATATCTCCTTTCTACTAGTGTGTAATTTCAGCAAAAGTTACACAAATTATCTAGTGTAGATCCTTGGCCTCATCAGTCATGGCTTATCACACTCTTCAACTGAAAACAAAAAATGGTACCATGATCATGCTATGTGGTAAAGAGTTGCATCTGGGGCAAGACAGAAGCCAGGAAGCCAATGGCACCTGAGGAGACCTACAAGGTAAGGGGCTAAGCCAGCTTACATGTGGCCACCAAAGCACGCCACAGAGGGAGCAGTGGTAAGAAGGAGAGATGACCAGCCCTGGCTAGAGTGAGCAGAGCAGTGTGAGTAGCGGAACAAAATTTCCTGGGTCTGGATGGGAACTAGGCAAACCCTTTGCCTCTGAGTCTGTCTCAGACAGCTCTGTCAGGTGACTCCACCAAGTTATGTCCCATGCTCCCCTGCCGATGCCATGACTACTTTCCCCCAAGCCCCCACCTTGCCTGGTCAAGAAATACCTTGCATTTTCTCCCACTCACCTATCCGTCTCTCTTCCAACAGAGACTTGATCTCAGCTATCTTATCCAGTGCTTTTCGGAGGATGCTAGGCAGGGAAGGGAGAAAAGAGTGCTGGGTGAGGCATCAGCATATGCTTCTTGGCAATCTGGGTTCCCCAGATCACATCTATGGTGAAAAGTACAGATCCTGTTGGGTGTGGTGGCTGACACCTGTTATCCTACCATGTAGGAGACTGCAGTAGTCCTGCAGTGAATTTGATGCCATCTTAGCTACACAATGAGCTCTGGGTTTGCCTGGGCTTGAGTAAGACCTTACTTCAAACAAAAAAGGAGAGGCTATAAAGATGGCCCAGTGAATTAAGTACCTGTTGTACAAGCCAGAGGATCTGACTTAGATTCCAAACACCTATCTGAGAGGCAGACATGGTGGTGTGTGCCTGCAACCCCAGCACTGGGTTACTGAGGAGACAGCTGGATCCTTGGAGTTCACTGGCCAAACAGCCTAGCCAAATCAATCAGTTCCAGGTTCAGTGAGAAACCCTGTCTCAAAAACTAAAGTGGACAATAATGAAGGAAGACATCCAGTATCAAGCACTGGCCTATTACATGCACTCTCACCCATGTGCATGCACACTTACATGCCTGAGAACCTACACAAATATATGTACGTACTTCATAAACATATGTATATCACATGCATATACAAAATATTAATAAAGACAAAGAAAGAAATAAAAGAAACTATAGCCCCTAGACAGAAATAGGCACTACCCCAGACATCTCAATTAACAGGTCTGTATGTGTCACAATTCTAAGATAGTGGCCCACAGGATTATGAAGGGTTGAACAAATTTTACTGCCTCATGGCACCACTGCCAGCTTAATGTCACAGTGCAACATGTTACACTCTCTGCACTGACAGTCATATATAAGCAGGGCACATACAATCATATACACTCAATCACACTTGACTATAATAATGACTATGCCACTGATTTAAAATGTTACTAAGGATGGAGAGATGGTTCAGTAGTTAAGAGCACTGGCTGCTCTTCTAAAGGGCCTGAGTTCAGTTCCCAGCACTCACATGGTGGTGGCTCATAACAACCTATAATGGGATCTGATGCCCTCTTCTGGCTGCATATATTATCTGCAGATAGACCACTCAAATACATAAATAACAAAATTTAGCTGGGTAGTGGTGGTGCATGCCTTTAATTACAGAACTTGGAGGGCAGACACAGGTTTTCTCTGAGTTTGAAGCCAGACTGGTCTACAGAGAGAGTTCCAGGACAGTCAAGGTTACACAGAGAAACCCTGTCTCAAAAACAAAACAACAACAACAAAGCCACTCAAAATAAAACAAAACTTACTAAATTATACTTCTGACAAAATACATGTGACACTGGTAGCTACATTACACATTTCATGTTCACAGAGTGTCTTTACTGATAAGAGGCCACAGTGAGTGTCAACGCTACGGTATTCACAGTGGGGTTCATCAATGACAGGTTTCAGAATGTTAACTAACCAATAACTGAATTTTTTTCAGTGCTCAAGATGAAACCAAGGGCCACTTGAAAGCTAGGCAACAGCTGTACCACTAAGAGACATCCTCAGCCCTGTTTTTCAACTGTAAAAGCACAAATGGCAGTGTGGTAGGAAGTGGCAGGACAACCCCTTGAGAAAGTAGGTGCACTGAGAGGTCACTGATACTGCTTGCCCGATTCTGTAGAAATCCTGCCAAAGCTCTGACCCCATCCTGAGGTGACAGGAATGGAAGTTCAGATTTGAGTATGCCATGTCTCTAATACTCATGTGCTTGAGCAGGTGGTCCTTAGTTGGTGGAGCTTTTTGCAGAGTTGTGGATCTTTTAGAAGGTGGGCCTTGCTAAAGGAAGTGGGCTGGGAGGGGCAGATCTTCTGTGCTTCCTCAGCAAAATGCCATGTAACCAGAAGCCATGCCTTCCCTTCCAAGACAGACAACCTTCTCAAAGTATGAAGCCAAAATAAACCTCTCTTCCCTTAAGCTGCTTTCTTCTGGGAGTTTTATTACAGTAAGAAGTAAATAACAGTGAAGCTCCAGGGCTGTTCCAGGAAGTGGAGGGAGAAGCAGAACCCCAAAGGCCTAGACAGACCAGGCAAGCTCAGAGCAGCCCCTGTAAGACTGAAGCCATTCCTTCTCCTGTGGTCCTGTAGCCTGAACCTCCAAAAGTTAATTTACAGAGGGGTTTCAGGCTGGCTGGCTGGCTGGCAGGCAGGCAGGCAGGCAGGCCAGCAGTGGCTATCACTACACAGGTTCTCCAAGTCTCCCAGAAAAGGCTTCAACCTTAATCAGCAGGAACAATGCCACTGTGGGTCATTTTATTCTGTTTCCACAGCAAACCCTTAGCAAAGCTTTAGCTTGGGAGTGCTAAGACTCAGACAGTGAGGTTCCCAGAAAGCAGACAAAGAATGATAGTCAGGAGGCCAAAGATACTGTGGAAAGGCTGCTATTGCTGTTGGGCCTGTTTGGAGGGTGTAGTTTCATGTCCTGCATTGAAAGTTGCAGTCCACATGATATCAAAAGAAACAGCAAAAACAAAAATCACCAAGAACCCAGCCCAGTGCTTCAGGAAAACAAAACAAAACAAAGTGATACTCAAACTAATCGGTGACATGAAATGGGATATTCAAACAGTCACAAAGCATCTCCCACAAGACACTTGCTGATTATACAGCAGAAAACAGAAACCTGGGAGATCCCACATCAAGTAATGAGACATAGTATCTGGGCTTTCTAATAGAAGGCTACTACTGTGCTACCAATGCTTGAAGTGTCAAACCTGAATCTAGAAGGCAGGAAGCACTAAATACACCCATGGGAGGGTCATGCTACAGAATAACTAACCTATAAACCTTCAAAATGGCTAAGAGATTGAAAACTGGTCAGCTCACAGAAGACTGGACACCAATGGAGATGCACACTAGAACAGGGCCCCTTTCATGATTAAATATGAATAAGCTCTCTGGGTCACAGTTTTCTATCTGAACTGATATCCTAATTTACATGAAATATAACAAACACTATGGTGTTTATTACTTATCACCCAGATGAATTCAGTAACACCCAGTGGGTTGGATTTGTCTGACCTAGATGGAGTAGCTTCATATCTCTTGCTTGCTTTCTCTCTCTCGGCTGCTGGGTTGGGACGATCTGGTTGGTGTTTATAGGGTGACAAAAATCTGAATTAGCAAAAGGATTTCAGTGCAGGCCAAGGTTTACCAAACAGGCTTCTAAGTGTTGAATGCTGGGTAAGTCATGCCAGGGTCATTCCATATCAAACTCGTTTGAGTCTTCACTCTGCCAGCAGTTAGGACAGAAAGGGTGGTTTACTTTTTACTTTCAAATGAAGATCTAGGGTAGAACTCAGTGTACAGAACTTGCCTACTAAGCTTTCCTACTATACAGAAGGAACTGGGTCCCATCTTCTGTACTACAAAAGGAAAAAACCACAAAATCCAGAAAAACAAGCACATGCAGCACTGAGTCTTTTGTTCTGTGTCCCAGCACCACATGGGGAGCCACGCCAGATCCCTTCATCCAAACTAGGAACTTTGTCATCTTGAACCTCCCTTCCGCCAACTAGTTCCCTACATAGATCTCAAACACTGCTGTTCTTGAGCTGGGTTTTGCTCTCTATCCTTCTACCATGTTCCACTCACCTCCATCTCCACTGTGGGCCTGGTCTCTAACTGGCTTTGATCCTCTTCCAACTCTTTTTTTTTTTATTGCAACCTTAAGGCTTCATTGGCTCCCGAGGCCTCTAGAGTGAGGGCTGTGGTGCTCAAGGCCCTTGTGAGTACCACATAGGCTACTCTTGTTCTTCTCCCACAGCTGGCATCCTTAGGCACCCTCATCACGCAGCCATTATTAAAAACAGCAGACTAAGATTTATTAGGAAGGCTTAAGATTAATTTTCTGCTTAAAAGTTACATTAAAAAGTGAGGAGAATTGGCTACACATAATGACATATTAACTGTAATTTCTGTCAGAACCCTGTGACATGTGTTCATAAAAATAAGAAGAGCTGTAGAAAGGCCCTGTTCAGCATCTAGCAGAGTACTAACTGTGGACTTTTGCCTTAGAAACCAGACTTCCCTTTTTTACTAGTTGTATGAGTTTTGGCAGATTTTATTACCCCTCTATGAGTCAGTTTCCTTAATTGTAAATTGTGACAATACTAAAAACTACATCTAAGGAATGCTCTGAGGGTCAAGTGAAGTAAATAAACACATAAAGTATTTGGGCCAGCTATGGTGGAACATGTCTTTAATCCTAGCACTGGGGAGGCAAAGGCAGGCCAATCTCTGAGTTGGGGGCCAGCCTGGTCTACATAGTGAGTTCCAGGCCACCAAGAGCTACAATGTGGGACTCTGTTTCAAAACATAAAAAGTTAATTAAGTACTTGGAATACTAACAGGTAGTGATCTTTGTTACCATTATAAGATGCAATAGTCAGCATATTCCCATGGCAGGGAGTTTATAGAACCTGGCATTCTCTCCACATAATCCTACTGTATGTTCACAATCCAGTAAGGAGTTATTACCATGATTTTAATGACAAAACAATGGGATTTCAATTGAATTGACTGCCATGTCATATGACTAGGAAATAAATGGTATGCACGGACATGTCACTGCTTTACTGCCACCTATAAAGCAATAAACTAAAGGAGAAGAATGGGTAAAGAAGGAAGAGCTTAGAAGGTTCAAGAAATGGGAGGGGCAGAGCAGAGGACCCTCTTCACAGACAGAAGGCAAACTGGGGCTGTGGCCTCAGGAACATGTGGTCCAGCACTAAACATCAGGGAACAGAGCAGCAACAGCCCTGTGGATGGTACTCACTTGCACTCAGCCTCTGCATCAGCCTTGGCGGTTGTGTAGAGGCCACGTAGTTTTGTCCGGTAATAAGGAGAAACTATAAATACAAGCATGAGGAGGCATTGAGTCAGAGGAGGTGGCAGCACGTAATCCCGATTCCAGGACATCAGAATCAGCTTAAAGAGGCCCAGAGGCTGGGATCTGGGCTTTATGAGTTCAAACATGCTCCCCGAAGTTAGTAAGATGATTCAGTATGCAAAGTACTTGAAGTACTTGATTTGAAAGTACCAGGAACCAAGCTCTATCCCAGATCCTAAGTTAAAAAAAAAAAAAAAAAAAAAAAAAAAAAAAGCCAGGCATGCCAGATATGGTAGCATTTGATTTAATCTCAGCACTTGCAGAGGCAGGTGGATATCTATAAGCTGAAAGCCAGCCTGGCCCACACAGTGAGTTCTAAGACAGCCAGGGCTACATATATATTTGACTGTTTCAAAAAAAAAAAAAAAAGTGATTGGTACCTGAGGCACAAAACATGAGGTTGGCCTTGCACACATACACATGTGCATGCACGTACTTCCAACACACATTAAAAGTATTCCCTGTTCAACAGGGTCACATTTCCATATGGTAAAGACACCACCATTCTTAAAAAGCACTTTCTAACCTGCCACTGGTCCATACCATGACCAAGGAGACGCAAGTACTGTCCAAAGCTATTTATTCTGAGTTAGAAAACACCAGGCACAGGGGGTGACCTGCCTTAGAATATATGCAGAGGCCATGGGAAAACTGTGCTCTAAGGTAAGAGTGAGTTTTCCTGCATTCAAGGCTGCCTTTCTAGTCTGAGTAACTCTAAGCTCCTTTGGTGCGAGGCTGTCTGTCATCAGCCCCTGACACTTTAGGTCATCATTCAACCAAAGGAACAATGACCCTAAAGAGCAACTTTAAGATATGCAGATACAAGCAAAAATCCCCTGTGAAGACAGAGTAAGGCCATGTTCCTGGTCTTAGCCCTTTCCAGCTGCCCTCAGTTACTCACTCTTGTTCTCAGTCTGCATTCGCTCGTGGGTTTTCTGGATGTTCACCAAGTTGTGCTCACTCCTCGAACGTTCTTCCTGGAAGGATGAGGTCAAGAGGTCATGAGGTAGACCCTTTACCCTTTACAAAAGCCCACTGTTTACACGAAGGCTCCCTCAGTGTTATTCTGTCCTGTGGGTTTTGACAGACACTTCAATTATATACCTATCATTATAGTATCATAAACAAGAGTCCTGCCTCCCTAGATATTCTCCATGCTCTTCTTACCCTTGCATCCCATCCCAACTATCCCAAGGCTCTGCCAATAACATCCTTTTACTTTTACTTTCTCTAGTTTGTCTTTTCTGGAATTTGTCACACAGTTGGAAAGAAGCATTGAATATGTAACCTACTGGGATCTTTCATTTAGCAATTATGTGCCAATATTTTATGATTCTTATTTTTCAGGGTATACCAACTAGAAAGGGTATGTTCTGGAGAGGAATTTCTGGGAATTACTCCCTACTGGTTCACTAGACAGTGTGGTCCAGCAGAACAACCAGTGTGTGACTATAAACATCAATAAGCTGGACATGGTGACACACGCTTTTAATCACAGCACTCAGGAAGCAGATAGGTCTCTATGAGTTCTAGGCTGGCCTGCTTTATATAGCAAGTTCCAGGCTAGTCAGAGCTACATAGAGAGACCCTGTCTCAAAAAAAAAAAAAAAAACAAACAAACAAACAAACAAAAAAAAAAAACCACACACACTTCAATAAACAAATGCTTGGAATGGTAATAATGGACAAAATAGAGCAATAGCATGCTCAACGTGACATGATATACTACAGGCACAAACACATACCATGCTTTATTTATCAATGAAAGAAAAGCTATTTTAATATATAGGAGGAAATGAGATTTAGAGCACTCGGGGCTGAAGAGATAGCTCAGTGGTTAAGTGCACTGGCTGCTATTCCAGAGGACCCAGGTTCTAGTCCTAGCACCCATGTGGCAGCTCACAACTGTCTATAACTAGAGCTCCAAGGGACCTGACAACATCTTCTGGCCTCTAGGGGCACCAAGTACGCATGCAGTGAACAAACATACATGGAGGCACTTACACATAATCATATAATAAAAATTAGTCTGGGGAAAAAAGTAGAGTACTAGGTATCACCTGGCAGATCCAATCCCTTTGTACTACATGCAGAACAAATAAACATACATGTGACTATCACCTTTTAGTCCGAGAATGCAGCACTGTACATCTTCTGGTATGAAACTTTACTATACCTATGCTACCAGTATATATCTACAACATGAGGGGTAGAGTAAACACTGACCACAGACAGTAAGGGCTTTGGGAAGAGGCAGATGATGACCTTGTGGGATAAGACAAATTCATGATAAATTAGGACCTGCATTCAGAGGAAAAGTATTTTTTAGTTAGAATAAGAACATCAACGTGAGTTCTCTTATAGGAAAAAGGCCAATGGAAGTCAATCTAGAAATAGTGAGGGCCTTTAGAGTCAGGCAGGACCAGCAAAAATGCTAAAACCATCCATCATGGGGAAAGAAAGGCCTTAAACACTGACCCAACAGAGCTGGTTAGCTATTTTGAACAACAGAGGCCAAAGAAGACAAGAGACAAAGGCCTTACACTATCACTGCTGTAGCCCATAGGCACATGTATGGTAGTCCTGTGGATCTTCACAGTACTTGTAGTACAGTGATACATCATGACTACTCCTGAACCAGTAACAGAGCAACCTAAGCTATGTTCTGAAGCACTATCAATATCAATAAGAATTATTCTAAATACCACCTGTGTCTGTCTCAAGGGAAGGTTAAGACTTAGTATGTAGTGCCATGGACTGAGGCAAGGTGACTGGCTTTGTTTTCAACTGAGTTGTAGCCCAGAAATAGGCAGCCGTGGGCCAGGATACTAATCTGGGCAGCAGAGGATTAACAGGGTTAACTCAGCAGGCTGGGTTGTCTAAACCCCACACATTTTAAAGTGCTTTATCCTTTGACCATATCCTGGAAGTTAACTATAAATCCTTTAACTATCTTGCCTAGTAAGGCTATCTGTGTTTACTTGGAGTTTGGGGATGAAGAAGAGTGATGGCTAATGGGTACGGGTCTAAAACTGATTGTGGTGACAGTTGTACAACTAAATTCCTAAAAATCACTAAATTGTACACTTTCAATAGGAGTCTTGGGTTGTTTGTGATCTTTTTTAGGACAGCTGTTAAAAAGAACCCTGAAATCTTTTACATGACAGAAAGCCCAAACAGAATGACAGTCAGATTCAAGACTCCCTCCTCCTATCTCAATAATACCTTAGCTCATGAAGGTCTCTCTGAACATAACCTCCACCTCCGATGGGAGGTGTCATTCTGTAAATATGTTTCTCTTATTGGTTAATGAATAAAGCACTGTTGGCAAATAGGAAAGCAAGATAGGCGGGACTAGGAGACAAGGAGGAATCTGGGAGGTGTAGTAAGAGTCAAGATGTAGGGACTTGAGAGAAAAAGGTCTGGACCCTCCAGTAAGATAAGATCATGTGGAAACACTTAGATTGATAAAAATGAGTTGATATTTAAGACAGCGCTAACCAATAAGAAATACTAGTAACTGGCCAACAGCGTTATATCTAATACAGCATCTCTGTGTATTATTTGGGGCTGATGCAGTTCTGGGACCAAGCTGGCAGGAAAACTGCTTGTAACACATCTCCATACAGCTTACCACCACAGCCCATGCTCCATTTCACTCTTACCTGGGTTTGCTTGATCAGCTGATGGAGCTCTGTGAGAAGCTCTGCAATTCGAGAATCAGCAGACACGAGGGCCATGGGATGGGCCTGTGAAGGACATCTGGTGAGAAGGAAGAATAGAGGGAAAGTTGTCATTGTCTGCTGTGGGTTGAGTGTATTTCTAACATGTGAAATCCTATTATCCTATCCCTTGGTGCATCTGAATAATGTATTTGGAAACATGGTCTTTGCAGGTGTAATTCAGAAGTAAGATACAACCTTAAACTGGAGTGACAGTGTCCTCATAAGAGACAAACATGCCAGGTGGTGGTCATGCACACCTTTAGACCCAGCACTCAGAAGGCAGGGGCAGAGGGATAGCTATGAATTTGAAGCCAGCCTGGTCTACAGAGCGAGCTCCAGGACAGGCTCCAAAGCTGCACAGCGAAACAAACAAACAAGCAAAAGGGACAAAGGGAAGATAACTGCCGAAGCAGAGACTGGAATGATATAGCAAGCAACTGTTGGCCTTAAACTTGAAAGCTTTTGCCTTCACCTTCAGAGTGGCCAGAGTCAAGCACCACTACACTCTACTTTAAATAAGACTTTATATGAAAAGGGACATTATTTCCTTACTAGAAAGGAAAAAGAAATCACATATATATATATATTTTCAAGGTAAGATAAATATAATAACAAAATGTTTTATGTAACAAAAAGTAACTAGAAAAATGAAAGATGATCAAAAAAAGCAAAAAGAAAGTTATAGTTGAAGATAGACACATCTAAAATAAAGGTTTACTGGGATGAGAAATTTTTTTGTGGGGAAGGGTTGCTAGAATTTTGTATAATATCTTTCTCTTAGAAGGGTTATTCTGGTGCCAGGCATGGTGGTAGATACTTGAATTCTACCTTCTCAGGAGGCACAGGGGAAAATTCCACATTCCAGACCAGACTAAGCTACATAAAAACTTATTTCAAAAAAGGGAACAAATACTGGGGAATGTAGTGTGCTGGCCCACTCAGTGTCCATCTGGAGACTATTCTGACTTATAAGTCATTAGAGTTCAAGCTTGCTTGCTCCAGTCTCCTTGGGGGCTGTGAGAATATTCTGATTAAGCACGCAGGAAAGAGCACATTATCTAACTAATAAGTTTCTGATGTCAGCGGAAGACACACACAGATAGATAACGAAGCTGCTTGCTGCTAGCAAGACTCACGTAATGGATAGCCTGCCTGCTCCACTTGATTCAAGGACAGACAGGGGGGCTGGTTAACTGACTATGCTTTGCTCTGCTCGTTGCCTCTAGTCTGTATACAAGCAGGTTCTAAATTAAGCTTGGGACTATTCTACATTGACCCAGCAGTCCTCCTGACTCTGTACTTTCTGTCTCTGTTTCCTTTATTTGCTGTTTCTCAGTCCTAGAACCCCATTTCAGGTACCCTAGCTGTCTCGCTAGAGCAGTGTCTGTCAGTGTACTTCAGTGGCAGAGTGTTTGCTTAATGTACACAGGCCCTAGGTTCAATTCCTAGCACTGGGACAAGGGGGAAAGGGAGAAAATGGCTTTAATGATGAGCAAAAGGATGCCCATTGGAGATCCTGAGGAGGCAAGGGGCAAATGTCTTCATATCCATTTTTTTTGTATAAACTCACCTACTGGAATATAACTAGAAGCTCCAATCATGTCTCAGCATTTCTAAGAAGGGTTCAGAGAGGTAGAAGACCATGTGGGATAAAGACAAAAGAAAAGGTTTATCATGAGAAATGATCTGGTGGTACCAGAGGAGTCTGTGCAAAATACAAAGAACATCGTCCTAGGCGCTGGTGGTGTTACAAAGAAACAGAGAGATTTGTGGAACAACCCACTGCAGGTGACAAGCAGCCTTTTGAAAGATAAGATGCTGAGCTCAAAAGAATAACAGAGGCATATTGTTGCCTACTGGGCTATATATAGGAAAACCTTATGCAAAAAGAGGTGTGTGTGTGTGAGTGTGTGTGAGTGTGTGTGTGTGTGTGTGTGTGTGTGTGTGTGTGTGTAGGGTGCTGGAGAGATGAGCACTGGCTGCTCTTTTAGAAGACCTGGGTTCAGTTCCTATTATTTACATGATGACTCCACTCTCCAACTCTCTAACTCCAGTTGCAGGGGATCTGATGCTCTCTTCTGACCTCTGAGAGCACCAGGTATGTATATGGTCTACTTACATATAAGAAAAATACTCATACATATAAAAAAAATATTTTAAAATTTCAAAGGAAAAAAGCTCTCAAGAAAAAGAGGAGGACACAAAGGAATACAAAGACAAAGGTAAACCGGTTTGTTTTCTTTGTCTATAATGCATTTAATATTCCCAGACATAAGTCATTCTCAAAGAAAACAAAACTACAAAGCGGAGAGTGGTGGCACATACCTGCAGTACTTGGGAGTCAAATGCAAGAAGATCAAGAGTATAAGGCTAGATATGAGACCCTGTCTCAAAATGTTAAAAACTTAAAATTCCCACCAAATTAAAATTAGGCCGTAACTGTGTAGAGTCCCTTTTTGGCAGTTAGCATGTGTCTTGGCTACCACATGTCTTTAGATAACATGTCCTAGTGTTATTTTCAAGAGTCATTAATCTTTCCTGGTGAGATTGTGAACTGGCATGAACCTTGAAGCAAGTTCTTCTTGGTATACATCACAATTAATTAGCTTTAAATGAGGACAGTTTCTATTTTGTTTTGTTTTTCAAGACGGTTTCACTGTGTAGCCCTGGCTGTTTAAGAACTCACAGAGATCTGCCTGCTTCTGCCTCCCAATTGCTGGGATTAATGATAGGCACCACCACTGCCCTGGGAGACAGTTATTCTTGAATCTTAGGTTACAATACAACTTACATAAAACAGCTGGTCTATTACTTGAATGCCACTCTGTAATTGTAAAACAAATATGGCTATTCAGAGATAGATTTAGGTCAGCGGTACAGTGCTTGCTCAAAATCCTGGGTTCCTTGTGGGTTTTTTTTTTTTTTTTCATTAAAAAGTTTGTCATCTTATTGTATGTATATGGGTGGTTTTCTGGTATCTGTATTTATGCACCAATCACAAAGGGTTGTGAGCCATCATGTAGGTGCTGGAATTGAACTTGGGTCCCCTGGAGGAAAAGATAGTGCTCTTCTGCTGAGCCACTGCTAAAACTCTCCTTTCCTTTCTTTCTTTTTTTTTTTTTTTTCTTTTCTTCTTTCTTTCTTTCTTTCTTTCTTTCTTTCTTTCTTTCTTTCTTTCTTTCTTTCTTTAAGACAGTTATGCTATGTAGCCAGGTTCAACAAGAACTCACAAAGTGGTCTATAATGTTCTTGAATTTGTGATCTTCCTGCTCTGCCTTCTGAGTGCTAAGATTACTTACAGATATGTGCCATCATTCCTGGCCAAAGTTGATCCCCAAGTAAGGACTGGGGAAACAGCTCAGTGGGTAAAACTGCTTGCTGCACAGGCATATTGACCTGAGTTTAGATCCCCAGAACCCATGGAAAAGCTGCAGGCAGTAGTATAAGTGCCTGTAGTCCTAGCACACCTACAAGAAGGGAGAGAATGGACAGAAGAACCTCAAGGAGTGCACACAGCACAGAACAGGCCAACACAAACTAGTTTATATTGCTACAGAAACCCTGTCTTAAGGTGGAAACATAAACACCCAAAGATTATCCTCTGCCTTCCACATGCACACCATGGCATGCACTCATTCTCGCCTCTTCTCCCCCCACCCCCAAGACAGGGTTTCTCTGTAGTTTTGACGCCGATCCTGGAACTTGCTTGAAGCCAGGCTGGCTTTGAACTCACAGAGACCCACCTGCCTCTGCCTCCCAAGCGCTGGGATTAAAGGCACGAGTCACAAGAGCCTGGCTAGATTTCATTTTTATGGATGAGAAGACAAAATATTGTTCAGACAGCAACACTCCCCTGCTCATCTACAGGACTCAGTGTCTCAGCAACTGACAAACATCCTAAAGTTCACACAAAAAAATCATCTTGAGAATTTAAGCAAATATGAAGGACTAATGTTTCACAGTTACAAAGCCTAGCACAAAACCAATCATTAGAGGTGGTGTGGAACTATCTTAGTAAGGGTTTCCATTGCTGTGATAAAATACCCTTATCAAAAGCAATCTGGGGAGGAGAGGCTTTATTTCAGGTTATAGTCCATGATGAAGGAAAGTCAGGGCAGGAACTCAAGAACTGAAACAGAGGCCATGAATGAATGATGCTTAGAGCCTGCCATCCTGCTTCCTTATACAACCTAGGTGTGGCACCACCCACAATGGGCTAGGTCATCACAAATCAATCACCAAAAGCCAATCTTGTGGAGGCATTTTCTCAATTGTGGTTCCCTCTTCTCAGATGACTCTAGCTTGTTTCAAGTTGACAAAAAGAAAAAAGGCAAGCAAGCAAACAAACAGAAAACAACAAAACAACTATCTAGTACAACTGACCCCTCAATCACCCAACACACAAATCACATCACTATTCAACTCTAACTTCTTGTTCACGCACAAAAAGCTCATATTAATATCAACATCTCAACACAAACCACATTGCAACCTAAAAGGCCCATGTAGCACGAATTCTAGTTGGTATTAATAATAAAAAACCCAGAGACAGGCATTGGGGTGAAAGCAGTCAGCCACTAGAGAGCTCTCGCCTCTACCAATGCTCAGACTGAAGGGGCGATCCTGTCCTCAGACTGCATCTCCAGACTTTGCTACTCCTCAGACTGCACTGCTCTCCATCAAACCTCAGAATGCACTGAGCTCCTGTCTCCTCCTGACTTATATTCCTCTCTAGTGCTGGGATTAAAGGTGTGGGATCCCAAGTGCTGGGATCATCTTTGTGTGAGCTGTTTCTCTTTTAGTCTGGATTAATTTCGTGTAGTATAGGGTCTCCCGGAGTGCTGGGATTAAAGGTATGTGCCTCCACAGCCTCTATGGCTAACAGTGTGGCTAGCTTTGCATTCTGATCTTCAGGCATGCTTTATTTGCTAGATCACAAACAAAATATCACCATAGTCCCACAGTCCTTTAAAATTTTTTTTGTTTTGTTTTGTTTTCTGAGACAGGGTTTCTCTGTCGCTCTGGCTGTTCTGGAACTCATTTTACAGACCATGTCAGCCTCAATCTTAGTGATCTACCCACCTTTGCCTCTCGAATGCTGGGATTAAAGGTGAGAGCCATCATGCCTAGCAAGAAAATACATATGCATGTATACACACACACACACACACACACATTTTAAAAATATGTATTCTGTATAGAGCATTCTTTCTGCATGTTTGCCTGCACACCAGAAGAGAGCATCAGATCTCATTATAGGTATCTATGAGCCACTATGTGGTTGTTAGAAATTGAACTCAAGTCCTCTAGAAGAACAGTCAATGCTCTTAACCTCTAAGCCATTTCTCTAGCCCTAAAAGAATTTTCTTTTAATTTTTTTTTTAAATGGGAACCCACAGTTAAGAGACACTGGAATATTAGACGTTTGATTTTTTTTCCCTCCAAATGTACATAAGTTGCAAGAAACAGGGTTACAATGTACAGGCCCAAGAGTTCCTTCCCAGATCCCTCCTGGAGTTTTGCAGCTTCTCTATGCTCTCCTGGGCCTACATTGCTGTATTATGTGTGACCCTTCCCTCGCCTTCCTCTTGGAGCTGCCTGCTCTGTCTTCCTTACACCTCCTGGGCCTCTGCAGCACCAGACTCCTCCCTCTGGTGGAGAAGTCCGGTACTGCACTACTCCTTTTGTCTCAGCTCCCTCCTGGAGTCTCACTGCTTCCTGATCGTCTCTGGGCTCTAGGTTCCTATATCTTTCTGGACCTTATATGACCCCTTTCTTCCTCCCTGGGCCCAGAGATTTCATTAAAGCCTCACTGTCTTCCTGCAAATAACTCAGTCTGAGGACACTCAATCAACAGCCAAAGATGGCCCACTGAATTTTCAAATTCTCTTATATGATAACAACCTCTGCCCCTGCACAAACAAATGATCCCAAACTCTCCTATATCTAAACTTTCTGTTCTATACTTCCAAAGCCTTTATCTCTAAGGTTTTTCTACTTTCCACTCTTTATATCTATGATTTCTTTGCTCTCCTCTCTCAAAAAAAAGTTTTCTTAAGACTACGCTTTAAAACTAGCTCAGCATTTCTAAGTTCATTGGGTACAGATAGTTTAAAAAAAATCTATACATAGGTAATATTAATCTGACAAAGCATATTACATGAGATTCAACTCTTGTTTAGGAAAATAGATGTTTTTAAATAGCAAGTATGTGGCTTGTCTCCATCTTGGCCTATAACCTCATCAGTATGGAGGCAACCATGTGGTTGGTAGCCATCTTTACTAAGTTTAAAAGAATACATGCAATGTAACTTCACCACCATCTTGACTGATGATCCTATGGCATAAACCAACTATGGTAACAATCAAACTTCTTAATCCTTCTGCACTCTCTGTATATCATTGCATCTCCTTTTTAGACTAAGGAGGCAACAGCAGGTCTCTGCAATATTTTGGATCAGGGTGGATTTTTGTATGAGGATAGTAAATTCCTAAGTTTATAAATGTATGTTCAGGTTAACAGAAAAGAGTTGGAGTTCTCTGCCTGGGGTGAGAGTTTGGCCAGCTCTGGTTCAACACCCCCAAGTTCTCCTTGGAACATCCTGGGTCAGCT